GGGATATAGATTTTCTTGATATCCCAATCGGGATATCGAATTATATCCTGATCGGGATATAATTTCAAACTATATCCCGTTCGGGATATAAAAAAAAGTTTGCTGCAAAAAATGATATCCCAATCGGGATATATATCCCGATTGGGAGTACATCCCGATCGGGATATGTCTCTACACTGTCTGAGTTCTTCTAACTCGTTTTTACCTTGGAAGGCAAAAAACTCATCGGAGTTCGTGTTCTTTCCTCGTTACCTAGGCACTTATGTTGGAGTTTGTTCCAAAAAACTTAGGATTCCATCATGCTAAACATGAAGAAATAATTAAAAAACATACAACAACAATATCAAAAGCAATTACTGGTGGTGGTGAGGACGCAGCAATTTTAGTTCTAGATGGAAACTATTTATATATAAACGTTATGTATTACAGAACGTTTTCCATGATATTTTTACTTTAAACTATAGAAGTCTGGTTATAATGAACTTCCAAGAAAAACGTTTAGTTTATAAAAACATCGATACTTGGTAAAACCGCTGTTTATTGTATCTACTACTGGGTACATCATATCTTTGTTGTGACCATTCTTAAGTGACGATGAAAATAACGATACCAGCAAGGTTAAAAATATGGATGGAATTCTAGACTGGATTAGTGAAGAGAGAGAAGCGAAGGCTGCGCTTTTGAAAAAGTACACTTGGGACTACTGACTCTCATTCAATTTTATTCAAAATAATTCTTAGTCGAAGAAAAGTACTTTTTTCATTTTTAAACATTTTACTCTTTTATCATATGATTTTACAGTTTCTCGGACAGTTTTGACTTGGCACACTCGTCAACAAAACTACCTAAACAGGAAAAGAAAAAAAGCCGAACGAGAATATATTTGAGTAGAAAGCTTCCAGAATTGACTCTAGAAAATATGTATTCAATATTGTCCTAGAAAACCTTAACTATCTCTATAATTCTTGAAAGAAATAATGTTAACAAAAGAGAATAATCAGATATATCTAAGGTGCGCGTAATTCACAGGATGGAGTACTATTTTATTTTTGATTTTCTTATACATTATTCGATAGAGATTCTCACGTTGATCGCAAATATCATCCTCTTAGCCTTCCCAGTGCATGTTTTCACGTAGAAAAAAGTCGAAATACTGTAAGAGTCTCAAAATCGGAAAAAAACTTTCATGTTTCGAAAAAATTGAATATTTTTTCCCTTTATATTTTGAAGCTTCCAAACATGCTTTTCGGGTTCAGCATTGAAAACTGAATTAGGAAATGCGTTTTTGAGGTTCTCCACATATTACCTGGCTGGTGCCTAAAATTCGTTCCAAGCTACCGAGAAAAAGAATCCTCACCGAAAAAACCTATTTCCTTTTTTTCCTTCAAAGATGAAACCTTCAATTTGACGGCATTCGATCCGCCACATCGCGGAGCACAAACCCAAGTATCCTTTTTTTGAAATTCTTTTTCTTTCTTGACATATTGAATTCCCATTAAAACATTGCGGTTTTCACCTAAAATGGGGCAGGTCATTTTGAAATAATTTGAAATTCTCTACAAACTGAGCTGGTCAGAATACCTAGACAGATGAGACCAGTCATTAAAGATATGAAAAAGAAGCATTTGGATGTTATATATGCAGTACAGTGTGTCATGATCACAAGAACTCTTTTGCTTTTGATTTTTCAGTAAAAGCTGGAACAAATCTGAATACTGTTTTGAATAACCCGAAGATTTTTCTATCGGATGAGGTCCATATCGCCATTTTATGGTAAAACTTGATGATGGGATTTGTGGAAAACCTGACCGCTAGAAAATCAAGTCTTTGGTTTTTGGTCAAAAATTTTTGCAAACCATATAGCCTAATAGATCAAAGAACTCAGAGCAAAATATGATATCTCCTGGCTGTCTATAACGCCCTTTCACCGGAATATTTGATAATTTTCACGCCCTTTGTAGTCATTCGTAAATCGACTGCAGTGGGCGGAAAGGTGTTATAGACAGCCGGGAGATATCGTATTTTCCTCAGAGTTCTTTGATCTCTTTTGGTCTCTTTGATAAGAAATAGGAACAGACTGTATTGCAAAAAGACACATAGTAACACACCAGCGCTACAGAAAATGTACAGAAAACCAGGCATTGACATTCGGTCAATACCTAACAAGCTGTTTATTGGCAGCAGAGAACAGACAAAAAAAGACATTATTCATCAGCTGTGCGCAATTACATATTTTTACTCACTTTTACGCTAGGGAAAAAGAAGGAGAAATGCACTTAATCCAAAAAGCCAAAACATTCGGGAAAATTTCTCAAAGATAATTCTTTGAAGCAAAATAAATATTGCCACGGTGATCAGCATGTAAAATAATCCTATTTTGTTTAGTACTCCAGCGTGAAAATCTCCTCATAGGTGCGTCCTCGGAAAATGCCTGAATCTCCGAAACGAAGGACGACAGACAAACAATTCCTTCAGATTCGAAATCAGCGCATCCGATAGTATTAATCTAGTATGAAAGAAAAAAAATCGAAGTTTTCCAAAGAAAACCTTTTCGAAAAATCTGCTGACTACATGGTTTTGTAGCAAATTCTACCGAGTTTCTGAATCTGAAAACCGAATGTCGCTATCACGTATCGTTGAAAAGTGATTTACAGTGATTTGTCGAAGTACACTATATTTTTACATAGATAGTAATCTTGTAGTTATCCATCAACACGTCGCAAATAGTTAGGACGATAATATCTTGGCAGAATGTAGTTGATTCGTTAGTTTACAAAATAACGAATCACAAGTATCGAAGGGGTAAACAATGTAGAAAACTGAACCAAATGTAGCATCACTGAAGAAAACATTGTTTTTGATTCTAGATTTCCAATAAAAAAAAGCAAGATTTTCTTTTGTGGAAGAAGACTAGGAAGAATACCCCACCTTTCGGCTACGTTGCGATGTATGATGCTGTCCGGAGACAGTTTCGTAAGCCCGATATTTTTCCTACAACTAATACTAGCTGTAGCTTTGGACAGAAGGCTATTCTGACTCAGAGTTCTTTCGCTCAATCGCTTGAGCTCCCCTTCCCGTACAAACTGACTAGCCACATACTAGCTACGAGGGTTGGTGTATGTCACAAGGTAGTCAGCGTGCTATCAAATGGGTGATTCGAGGCAAACGATCGTTAATGACTTGCCCAGGGTTATTCCATATCTGGTGGCGCCGAGGTTGAAACACACAGTACCTTGAGGGTACACGCCAAACAACTTAACTACACAGCCATAGCCGTTTTTTCTTCTGTGAAAAATAAACAATTTATAATATGGAACAAATGGAATATTATTTGACAAAGAAATCACTTTTTAAAAAACAATATGAGAAGAATATTGATTATCAAACAGAATAATGAATATAAGAATAGATTTAACATTAGTAATTTGTTAAAATTATTAAATATTAAACGTCCTTCTTTAATACCTGCAACAAGACTGGCAAAATTATCATCTAATAATATTATGTCAGATGCTTGTTTACAAATAGTATTACCAGATATACCCATAGAAATACCAATATCAGCTTTTATTAATGCTGGTACATCAGCAACACCACTACCTGTAATAGCAACGGTATGTCCTTGACGTTGACAACTTTCAACTATCGTTAATTTTTGTATTGGTAATGTGCGTGCAAATACAATTTCAGAATAATGTTTTAATATATAATCTATATCACCAGATGTCATAGTTTTTAACTCATTACCATGTAAAATAATAGCTTTAGCTTCATTTGGATCAACATCTGATATATCTTTATTTAAAAGTTTTGTTATATCTTCAATTGGTTCTGAATCTTCAGATATAATACCAACAGCGATAGCTATACCTCTAGCTGTTAGAGGATGATCATCAGTAACCATAATAACTTTAATACCATCTGAATGACATTTGATAACAGCAGCAGGTACACCTGCATGTGGTGGATCAATCATAGACATTAAACCTAAAAATCTTAAATTTGATGTTAGAAAATTGACATCATCAATATTAAATATATAATCTTTTGGATACCGATTTAATGGCAAACGTAAATCACAAAAACCTAATACACGTTCACCTAAACTGCCTAAATCCAAATATGCATTAATAAATTTATTTTCCCAATAATCATTTAATTCTAAATCACAACCATCGATATATATTGTTGATGACTGTTTTAATAATGTTTCAGGTGAACCCATCATAACTAATAAAAATCTTTCATCATGATCATTTGTTGTATGTATACTAACTTGATATTTATTTCTTGAATTAAATGGTATTTCAAATATTTTACGGTTTTGTTCACGAAATTTTATAACATTACTTAAAGATAATTCCACATATCTTAATAATGCTGCTTCATTAGCTTCACCATTACATTCACGTTGTAATACGGGTTTTCGCAAATTATCAGGATCTCGTTTAAAATCAGCACGATTACATAATGCTGCACATCGACATAATGCCAACCAACCAGGTGATGATTTATCATAAGTTGTATCTTAAATAAAAATAACAAGAAATGTAAACTTTAAACTGTGTCAAATGTTAAAATTTCTAAAAAATGTATTTATTTCAAATAATCCTACATTTAACAGAGACGCTTCACCTTCTTTATCTTCGAACACTCTCAGGCTTGACATTTTGTACGAGACAATTGGTAAGGTATATCCCTCAAATAAGTAGTAGATTGGTCAAGTTTAGTGGAATTTTTTATCTTCATTTTTTATATAAGCTTTATTCTGTGAGAATATAGCGGAAGAGTATTCCATTATAGTATTCTAAACTAAAACTATCGAAAAACACAAAATCAATTTTGTACGAATAAACATTCGAACATGTGATTTTGGAATTATCAAATCACAAAAAGTCGATTTTGCCACCCATTTTGAGAGGGGATCAAAAAATAATTATTATCAAATATGTCGTTTCAACAAAGCATGCTGAAAAGGTAGAGATCAATAGAAAAGTTTTTCTTTAAACTGGTCCCCATTAGGTAGGTGTACGACGTCATACTGAACTTGTAGGTCCAATGATATACCCGGATCTGAAAACGTAACACATGAGAATTTGCCTGTTTTCGTAAAACTTTGGTTATAACTCTATACTTGCTTATTTTCCAATGCAAATTTCTGCATAGAAGTTTTCAAAAAGGTTTTCTGGTGATTTGGCTTTCTAGAAAACCTCCAGACGGGTTTCTGGAAAACTTAAAAGTGATTCCATCGGGTTCGGCAGCAAAATCTACCCATAGAACCAAATTTTCACTCAGGTCGGATGAAAGCTGACGGATTTATTCGCGGATGACCTGCCCAATTTTGGGCAAAATCACCTACTTACTAATACAAATTTGCTTTTGGTGGACTGAAAAGCAATTTTGAGAAAATCTAGACGTACTTTTGCAGTACTCGTCAAGGTGCATCGCGTGGTGTATGATTCAGGATGTCATCTCGCAGCACAAAAAACTAGATAGGCTTGTATGAGGTATGAGCACTTCGAGTACGGGGGTTCGAAAGAGTTCAGTGTTAAAGTTTAAATTTAAAGAATAGAGAAAATAAAATGAAATTAGAAAGAGACTTTCGAGAGATCCCCTAAAGAACCATGATCACGTAGTACTGGCATCTCGCCAAACCCCTACGTTTGTTCAGATTTTAATTCTCTATCCAACTACCTTTGAACCAAGGTTCCATCGCTTATCTGACTTGAACTATTTCAAATTTCAAAAAAGAGCTAAATTTTTTAAATTTCAAACTAAACTCAAAAACTGAAATTTTGAGTTGAAGGTGGTAGGTTTTTGATTCCGTGATTGTCGAGATAGCCTAGACCAACTTTCTCGTGTAACACGCTTATTTCGTTATTTCTGAATGAAAACGAGTGAGAGTTTCCCTACGATTGCAGAAAAGAATATTCTGCATCTTTTTATACGCGCAAATTTTTTGTGAAAGGTATTCTTCGAGTAGAAACTGATTTCCAAGAAACTCCCAGCTTTCTAGCTATTTTACATGGCCGTTTCCGTTTACCCCACTAACTTTCACGTACGTTTCCAATTGTCCTAAATGAGGTAATTGGAAACATTTGAAAATTTCTCAGCGTTTACCTGTTTAATTAGAGCTCAAGATAATTAATGAGTAGAGCTTGGAGATTCTCACCATTTGTAGAGCAATAATTGTTCTATTTACCTGTGCAAAAATTATTAATTAGTATCATTGGCTTAACGAGAAAATTGTTTTTTACTAATGAATTATTTCCCGTGTAAAATACATGGAGTATCCACTTACCGCATCAATTTCTGTTGTTGTTTCCAATTGCTCCAAGTGGGATAATTGGAAATGTTCGTTAGAGCTTTCAACAAAACGCCGAGAAGTTCGCCTGGGACACGGAGTTTTTGAAAATTTTTAGATAGACTAATAGAGAACTTCTCCTCTACCTACCTGTAAACAGGGCGCAAAAAGATAATTAAA